AGATGAAAAGCAAGATGAATCTCTCACGAGTCAAAATGTCCAAAGTTAACAGCTCAGAAACATGTTCTCTTTTTCGAGGAGGGCAAGTGGAGGCTCACTGACACACGTGTCCTTTCTTCCTAATATGGAAGGCTTCGTTGATTTCGCACTCGATCTTGTTACGATATCGTGAAAGCATCTTTCAATTATGGAAGAGCTGGGTGCAGCTGCACGAGGAACAATGGGCTGCTAAGATGCTGCTTGTTGAAGTCTTGAGATTGAACGGGTGCTCATTCAGGTGATTGTTCAAACATTGACTGGTCTGTCCAGCATAGGTGTAGCCACATGACAACGGAATGTTGTAATACATTGTTAATGCATTCCTCGTACTGTGTCCTGTGCTTCTTTATGCACGCATGCTCTTTGGGGTTACTTTACTTTTTCGCATAGGCTGCCGAGAAAGCCTTACGCCTGCTTTGCTAACGATCTTGAGTGCATGGCTCGCACCGCGTGCGTAAGGGATGGCGGAAATTTTTTGTCTTGTGCTGGGTATTTCCTGGTGCTTTGCTCAGCACAGGAAAGACAATAAATTTTTGTCGTCTCTTAGGTACATAGTTTGAGTCATGCGCTCATGCAAATCGTGTATCAACTGGCCCTTCAAGACACCCTTCTGGCTTTAATTCCAAAATAATCTATCTCGGCATTTGCTGTACTTCACACTTGCTCCGAGCTATCTCTATACACAGGAGATTTGTAGGACAGAGTAAACTGTCCTTCAAAAAAAATGGTGGCACCACCCCTTTAATATGACAGTTATTTGGTCACCATATTGTGCTAGCAGTGAAACGAAACAGCCACTATTGTGCAATAAACATTCACATTCTCCAAAGATAAAGAGGTGTATTGGTTGTGCTTGAATTAAAACTGATGTCTATGTGAGGACTGTTCATAGTGTTGAAGAGATATCCATGTCATAAGGGTATCTTAATTGTCCCATTGCATTGTTCTATGTAGAGCTCTAAAATGCTTATGGGCGAATGACAGTTTTATGTATGATTATAGTTTATTGTACTTAATAAACAATAAAACTGTGTCATCCATTTTCAGCATGTGATGGAATTGAGCCCTGTGCTTTCCATGATGTGAATTAGTCTTATACATTTTTTTTGGCATTTCCCATTTCATGTTTGTTTTTGTATTTTTGCAACAGTCATATTTGTCGCCTGTTCTGCAGTATTGTATTGGAATGGTGTTTTGCATCATACTGGATTTTGTCAGTTTTTAACTTAAACCTTTTTTATTTCTTGCTAAATGTTCTTGACATTTTTTGTTTGTACCAAAGCTTGTGTCTTTATGACCCTGTAAGTTTTAATTTTGATATTACAAAATGAAATAATCACAGTTAACTTCTTTCATTGTATTACCTTCACTGCTAGAATTGTGTGGAGCTGTGCTTCTATTCTCATCATTGTGTTCACACTTCAACTTGAACATCGTACTTGATTTAATTAGTGTTTGCTTAATTTATTTATTCATTATTACTAGAGTACATGATTTGACCTAATGATAATAAACATTTTATTGCATCTGAGACCTTGTGTGAGCCCAATCTTCTTACGCTTTAGCACTTGTTCCTGGGCAAGTTGATGCCTAAGTTTGCCAAACATATGTTATTCTGTTTTATCGATGGTAAAAGCTTGAAAACAAATAAGCTTCTAAGCATGCACAGTGGCATGAAAGTTCGCTGTACTCTTTCACGTCGCTGTGCATGATTGTTTTTTCTAGCTTATACCATCAATAAACAGCTGGTAATTGGCACTCCGGATCCCTAGTCGTCACCTTATTTGTGTCCATGAATCTTGTTTTAATTTAGCATTGCACCAGAAATAATTTTAGCGCTTTGATATTTAATCTGCAGCAAAAGGGTTCTTGTGAAAGACGTTCAAGCATCAATTGCGAGAGTGCACAAAACCTCAAGGACCCTCGATATTACCACACACACACACACATATATATATATAGCTAGGTATTTGTGCTCACTCAACATCAGCCTCGGACAGGCCGCATGGACATTCAAAGGACCATTAGGGGGTAGATTATTTATGCACAATGAATAAGAAATCAATATACATATCTATTATGAACATATATGTACCTGTGTATATGTATAATATATCCCCTGATGGTCCTTTTAATGTCCGTGTCAGCTGTCCGAAACGGATGACGAGCGAACGTACAAATTTGTTACCTTTGTACATTCACAGTATGTCCATTGGACGTACATTGTACGTCCGCGGATATCTGATGGATGTCCGGAATATCCGAGACGGACGTCCCGACGTATTCCTAACGGATATCCGTGGTTACTTGGGTGGTAATGTGTCCATGACTGGTTAGGTGAATGGTCGCGTGGCTGGTGCGAACACAAGTGCTCATCATGCAGGGAGCAGTCAGCAGGACATGTTGATGGAAGAAAATACTTTATGTACAAGTATTGCCACGGTTTCGATGTCATATTGAAAGCGCTGGTGCTCTTGATGGGGGCTCTTTCTTTATCCACTCCACGTGGCGGCAGGATTCCACTAGTCCTGTAGCATTGACAGGTGCATCACTAAAAGTGCACCCCCACCTCAAAAACAAGTGATACATCCACTTGACGGCGTAGCTATTAGAGGTTGAATATTGCCACGTTCCATTCCTCAAGCTTTGTTATCGCCCCAATACACTACACAATTCTCAGCGCAAACCGCCCCTGCAGTTTTCGAGAAGCTTCAGGACTGTAGTAGATCATTTCGATAAGATCACGCCCACTTCGCGAACTGTACAGATTATTCTGGAACACTCGTCACCACCAGCGATAACGCTAGAACATTCGATGGCAAGAGTATAAATGCCGGCACAATTCGCCGCTTGTGAGTTGTTGATCGCAGCCGACGCTCCGTCCACTGCTATCTGTGCAAGGCTGCTACTGTAATCGGACTTTCCGTTTACCGGGCACAGGCTCGCCCAAATTAACAGTTAAATCCCAACACAGTCTCCTGTCTTCGGCCACGTCACGATCCCGTGACAATATTGATGCCTCAGAGTGCATCTGCAAAATGCAGCAACAAATATTATTGCAGTTTTTTATGCATTTATATATAATAACCCATGCTTTATTTGTCCGTGACTGGTTAGGTATATACAAGGCTTCAAAAAGCAGAGCTGCCCATACCAAGCTAGCTCGCATGTTCAACCTGAAGCTTGTGCTGTACTAAAATGTGCACCATTTTATGAAGAAAAAAAGAAAGTGTAGCAGTTAGATGTGTTCACTAGAAGCTGCTGCTAAAGCTGTGCAGCTTTCATGGCGGGCTTGATGATTGCATTTTGGGAGGAAATGTACTGGCACTGATCAGTAGAAGCTGTCGCCCTCAGACGATGCATCGCCTTATTCACTAGGAACTCTGCCTCTCTGTTTGGTTGGAAAAAAGTGCCAAGCAAACTGTGCCGGTCGTTAAATAGCACAGCACACTCACTGGTGCCTGGTGCTCAGAAACTAGCAAGAAAATGACGTAGAAGACACTGCGACTGCCTGCACTCAAAATGTAAAAGGCTGCCAGGATGGGGATAGCAAGTGTGCCAGTTTCTACTTTTGTGTAATGCACAGGCCGTCAGTGTGCCCTGACTACTGACAGTACAGAACTGACTGACACAGGACCATTTAAGGCTAGGTAGCACCCGTACTATATGTTTCTACTGCCTTCAGTTTGGGTCATATGGGCATACTTTTGGCTCAAGCATGTAAATGATGGCCAACATTATCTTTAGAGACCAAATTCGTCAAGACATGATGTCATCATCCCGAGCAATGACGCATATCAGTGCTTATTATACTAAAGTACTTGGTGTATCATTTCAGTACGCAAGTACTGTACATGCCGCATGATGCTGTAAGCATTCGAGGTAAGTTTCAAATGTCACAGACTAAGGCAGCCAAATGAAGCAATGTTCCATATGGGCACAATGAGTATGTTTAAAAGTTATTGCAGTTTATAATGTCAATAATTTAGGATATGCATAAACCAGCCCAAGGATGGCACATTTTAAGGTACATATAAACATAACATGTACCATGCTGCAGTTTTTAGAGATGTTTTGGTTGGTATCTGTGTACATGTATCTGCTAAGTATTACATGCATAAGGCTGCAAAGCTATATGATTCGTTTGTCTTTGCCACTCGCATTGACACTAAATGCAGTCCACTTAAGAAGACAAGCATTTGTTAGCAGAGTTTTCTTTTTTTTGCTTGTATTTGACAAAAACGAAGTTTTTTCTTTTGCAGACGCCTGCTTTTTGGACATGATGCACAATTCAGCTGGCTTCGATGGTCTGAAAAGCAGCAACCAATTAAGCTTTGCAGATTAGCAATGTGATTGTCTTAAAAATATGAGCTCGACTTGTTATTAACAGATGGTAGTTGTCCTTGAAGTAGTGATGAAAACTGAATAATTAGGCCTTCACCACACAGATTTATCACGAACACTGTTTCTATCTCATTTAAACAGAAGGGGAGAATTTTCAGTCATACATTTTGCAACTACAAGACAATGCAGATATGACGACAATCATAAAAATGCACATCTCTGTGTTTGATGATCCTCTCTGATCATGATGATCATGAAAATGATCATCTCTGTGTTTTTCTTGGCCTTTGAGGTATGCAAAAGTATCTTGGAAACAGGCACACTAGGCCAAATCAAGTAGTCTGGGCTTTGCACCACTTTCATCTGTGCTGTAGTTTAATGATAAAATACATAAATTTTTGTGAGTATTTTCTGATGGGCCTATTCATGTTTCACACACAAAGTGTTCAGTTGAGCCCACTGCATAAGGCACTTTAATTACTGACAGCTCTTGCTTTTCATCTCTCTCTGTCGCTACAAATATTTTTGTGTTATGCACATTTATGCACATTATTGTTGCATTTGACTTACATGTAGATGCTATCTTATGTGTCAGAAGACATACACACACGCACACATTTCAGTTTCATAGGTTAGGCAATAGTGACTTTTATTTCTGGTGACTGTTTTTTCACTTTGTACAAGCACATTTTTTTTCTGAAAGTACTATCATAATTCAAAAATTAAATATTCAACAATAAATTAAGAAGCTGTGCAGCACACTGTGCCTGCTTAAAAACATTCTGCTAATGCCTGTACACCAACCAACAACCACTGAGGGACTGGACAGAAACTGTGCTACACCCAAACAATGCCCTGGAGCACTGTTGCAACCATCAAAGAAAATGGGTTCGAGGTACAAAAGAAAAAAAGAGGCAGGCAGCAAATTGATGGCTCCGTAATCAACATGCAACTTCTCACCTTGTTCCTTGCATCCATGTTAATCGTGCCTGCCTTTTTTTCCATGGTGTACCTTCACGTCATGTTAAGCCTACTCACTCTAATTTACAACTCGCAAAGCATCACAAAAAAATTCACAGTTCAGTCCATTGATATGCTGGGATGTGGCAGCTGAGTTATGACCATGCCAGGCACTAACAAAGTCTGCCATTATGCACAACAAAGTTTTAACACATTGCAAAAGCAGTTGTGCTTTCATTTGCACACACTCATTTACTCAGACACTCACACCTTTTTTACACACATTCTAGGCACACATGCTCTTGCACATCTCATGAACACTCACTGTACAGTGTCCTCTCTACTGGCACTCCCTAATAATTTCATAATTATTGCATCATGATATCGTTCCTCGTTTGGCACACACATCGCTCCTCTTGCATACTTCAGTGGACTTGTCACACGAATTCTCGTAAATCTTCTTTCAGCAACAAAAGGAACTTGGTCAGAAAAATCACATGGAGATTGAAACGAGAGTTCTTTCACTCGGCTCCTTTGTCTTTGCATCCGTATATTGCAGGATCTCGCTCAGTGATTCTGATAGAATAGCCATCATTGAGCTCTCATCATATCATCAGAATACAGAGGCTTTGTTGAAAGTTGACACACGACTTGTTGACCAATGATTTCAATTTTCCCTAGAAAAATGAAAAAAAATTGAAAAGAATGAGTCAATCATCTGTTAGCATGATCTGAATGACCAGTTTGCAAAAATGAATATTTTTCTGGCATCTACATTTTTCTACTGCACGGGAACAAGTCTCATGTCATTGGTCATAGACCCTGACGTAAGACTGAAATATGCCATAGTCAAGTCCTCCTTTTGTCAATACAGCATTCCACATCAATAATGCATTACTAATGATACACCAAGTATACTGCATAAGTAATAATGTGAAGTATATGTGACTCTCTCATGCAGCTAAACCACTTGGTTAGTTAGGACTGAAATTTCACACAGAGTACTAAGTTGTGGTGAATTAAGTTTAAATATCATGCTTTCCGTATGCCTTACTTGGCTGTTTTGTCTGCAATACAGTAGACTCTCTCGTGACAAAATGTGTTAAACAGAACTGCTGCTTAATTGGAACAAGCTTACATCTGACAAGATCGGTTTTGGTCTTGCATACTGCACCCCTGGTCATTTTTCAGAAAATAGAACTCCTGTTAAAGAGAACATTTCTTTCCTAGTTCCTTCAAGTTCCGTTTAATGAGAGTCAGACTGTAAATCTATGTTGATGAGTGCCGCTCAAAAAATGTCAACTTCACTGCAGCATAATCGTGGTTCCTTTTGTCATTGCCTTGGTAGAAAGCTTCATCACCACAGTGACTTATTTATTTATTTCATTCTCACATACTGCAGCCCAATTCAAGCTATCGCAGGTGTGGATTTTCTCTACATCAGTACACCAACAGACAGGCAATGCAATACAAGTGAAATGAAAAGAAAAACAGGAAAAGAAAAACAAACGAGCAAACAAGAATAAAGCTCTTAATCAACAAAGCACGAAGCAGTACGCTCATTCAAAAAATCTCTTAAAGGCAATATCCATTAGATTACCTAGGCAATGTATTCCATTCTTATATAGTGTGCGGAAAGAAGCTGAATTCAAATAGGTTAATATGCGGATGGAATGGTGTCAGGTTGAAATGACGGAGCTACTGCCACTTTTTCAGAGCCATAGAATCAGGATGAAAATGATGGCCACAACCTGGGAATTCCATAGGTGATCAGATTAAGCAAATATTTTAATTGTCTGAGCAGAAGTAGAGCAAACCAAATGAGTAAGAGAAACTGGAGATCTACACAATCCACTTGCATGAAGTCGTACATATTTGATGCTAATCCTCAGCACTGGCACTATGCTTAATTTTGATTACTACTAGTATTTATTAATGAACTGTTCAGTGCATGAGTTGCAAATTATGTACAAAAAATAAGCCCTATTTTCTTGAAGGAAACTTATATACCGTCGTGCTTTCTTTTCTGGTGTCATTGTTTACTTATTCTCACTCCGCCCGTAATACTTCGTAGCGAGTGAACACTTACTGCTTTTTCCAAGTATTGATTATGTGCCTCTCTGAGTGTCAAGTCATTCCAGATGCAGAAGCCGTCTGCTCCACGCCTTGCTATCTGTGTGAGTTGGCACTGTGCCAGCTATTCTAATGACATAATACACAGTGCCGATCACCTATTCTTGTCTAGATCATGGACCATTAGTTTTGACAGCTGTGCTACGAACTTCAAACGTCATGCCGTGCTAACTTTCATACAACGACCTTGTCTATCTTAAGAGTTGGGGCATCGACATTTGCATGTGCAATTCACAACTGCCCAGTTGACAAATAAAGCAAGCTCTTGTACACAGTTTCAGATTTACGTGAAGAAAAAAAAGAACCATTATGATTTCAATGTTTAATTATTACACTGAGTTTGTAGTAAATTCTACAAAACCCTTACCTTTACTATTTGAATGTTTTATTGAGACTTCGTTTCTGTGGCTATGCATGAACACGAACCCATGGAAGCGTCTCTAGTTGTTGCGATAGTTTCTGAGCCACAAGCTTTTAGTTCCAACTGGCAAAGAATTTTATAGACTTAATCTGGACTTTCAGAAGGAGCAGCCTCTGGTTCAGTATAAAAAATAACATTTTATGATCTAAAACTACCAAAAAGATCCCTAATGACGTAAAGTAGGATATTCAAAATTTAATGTAAAGGTATAATCCAGATCAAATCAATGAATAATCTTGGGTGAAAGGAGTAGTGCATTTACATGCTTAAGACCAGCCCTCGCCTATGATGGCATGGGACTGAGTCATAGTGGCTGCTCACGCATGAGGATAACAGTAAAATACCTAATATAACACGGGCATCACAGTGCCTTTCACTCAGTTTATTAAGTGCCCTAATGAAAACAACTTCATTTCGCAGATTGCTATAGGTTAAACTGGCTCTTGTCAAAGTTTAAGGTAGTCTTAATGTGTTAAGATTGGTTCAATTCTCTCATGAAAGTTTTTAAAAAAAGAATGATCCAAATTTTTTGAATACCCTAAGCTTTGCTAGTGCCAGTTCAGTCTTGAGACTGTATTTAATAGTTTATGCTCTATGATCATTTGTCTCAGCGACTTACAAACTTTTTATGCATGCAGATGCGCATATGTTTTGTGAAGTCTGACCTGCCCAAAGATGAACAACCTCATGTACAGGGCCATTCTCGCACTATCAACATTATATGAACATTTGCTATGCTTACCTGATGTCTTGCCCAAGTCGCTGCTGGCCTTTTCACCAAAAGAAATGCCTACAGGCATTCTGTTTCGAGTGGCATCGTTGGGTAGTGACATTGTCTCAACTAACCACCTTCCAGCCTTGCTTCCTCCGTTGATTCGGAGATGCGACCATATCAGGAGGGTCGTCATATATTGGGAAGCTTTGCTGCTCGTACGAGATTCCTAAAACGAGTAGACACCTCATGCTTAGGACAGGCTGACTTATAATGTACCTTATCTGCAATCACACAATTCAACTACAACAAAGTACAGCAAAGTATCTTGCTGACATAGCCAAGAGAGTTTACAGCTTGATCTTGAAAGAGGCCATGAATGCAGTGCTAAGCATCAGTCAATGAAAACATGACACAAGCATCAGCCATTATGCTGTCAACCCTTCTTCCTTTTGAGACAAAAAACAACATTCAGTACAACACGAACTTGGCACTGACTAATTAGAGAACCAGAAAAAACAAACACTTCATCTGAAGAAATAAAACATCCTACACGTAAAATTTTTCTTACACATACAACCTTTTTGAGCATGCAATATTGTAATGACATAGCATGTTATATAAACTGGGACTATTGATCGGATGGTCTGTAAGTGAATACACAGTAAAAGTGAAGGGCAAAATGAGCATGTGCATCTGCTCTACTTACGAACTTGCATGTAATTATTTTCTAAAGTGATGCTTAGCTGCCTGGCAAACGGCCAGAAGAAAGCAATTTTGTGAGTTTCTGTAAATATGATACAACGCTGCTAACACTGTGACCATTTTCAGAGGAGACAGAGTGCTGTAACAGCTTTGAATGTAAGAGCTCGGAAGAAAAATAGGAGAAATGGCAAAGTGATGACGTGTGACTTTACGGAAAATAAAGAAAGTAACTGTTTCAGTGTTGAAGAGCTGAGAAAATGTAACAAGCAGGAAGGTTTCGACGAGGCTTTACTGCATTATTTTTCTTCCATTTACATTTCAGGCACCTGCACTTGGACTGTCAGGCACATCATTCTTGCATTTGCTGATATTGGTTGTTCTGTGATCCGTATCACTAAAGCATCTGTCAGAGCTTTGCATGGTATGAATTATATGTATTAAAGTTTACTATTGTTGAGCTACTATGGAAACAGAGCAAACTTCTTGCATTCAAGACCTGAATATTCTCTTTCCTAATCTGTTTCCATACTACGTTGTCTTAATGGTATGTGTTTGAGCTACTACAAGCCCTCATTCATGCATTTGCTGATCTTTGGTTGTTCTGTGTGGCATGTTAGTACTGCAACTACTGTGTACCCCACGTGTACCCTCCAACCACTAAAACACCATATTTTTTGATGCACTGAAGTGGCTTGTAAAGAAATATAAAGTTGTCAAGTGTAAAGTTGTTGTTATATATAATTTACTGCAGATTTGGAAAAGTGAGGCATCATACCACTATTACAAAGTGGTGACTTTTTAACAAAAAAAGAAACAAGCCAAATATTTTGTGTCAGTTCTGCTTTAAAGGGTCTCTAAACCGCCCAGATGTCGAAATTTAGTTGTGGTGTTACAGTTGTGCACGAGTCTGCAGTGAATGTGTCGCCGTGAGAATTCCTTGAAAAGTTACCCAGTTATATAGCAGAGTAGCAAGCATTTGATGATTCAAAAGATGCCCTTGTTTATTTTGCCCTATTCATTGTTCATCAGCTTGTCTCTCCTCGTCTTTCCTGTGCAAGAAGGATGAGCGCAGCCAGTGTGTGTAAGTGCAAGTGGACAAACAAGCACTTTAGTTGACGAGCAATCGACATGTTGATGACACGGTGAACATTGAGGGGATGAGAAATGTCGAAAGGCACAGAGAGAAGAAGGGATTGTTCTCTGGAATTCGCGGGGTGCCCGCCGCTCGTAGTGCTGCTGTGTTTGGCATTGTTGATCATGACGACTTTCTGAACTTGATGTGCACATTTATTTGAAAGGTTTTTACGAATTATCGGATGTGGATTAGAAGCCTTTCAACACACTAGCAGCAGAATTGCTGTTGTACAGTTGTGCATGGACTTTATAGTAAAATAACATTTGCGGCATCTTATATGATAAGTTTCTTTACTAATATCATGTTGCTTCTAGCATATTCAGTGATCTTTTTGTAAACATAAAAGAGTAAAGCAGCAACCCCCTTTCTCCCCCTACCCTATAATGTCATTGTTAACTGTTTGGTTGTTGGTTGATGTATACAAAGTATCTTTTAAGTGAAGCACTAAATGAATTGCTATACTTATACATGAGGAAGTATGCATGAATTAATAGACATTGAGGTAAAAATTACGACCTGGTTGGAAACAGACTTGCAGTATACCATGGTACATTTTAATACATCAGGAATGTTCATGAACAGATCGCTTGCTTTCATATTTAATACAGTAACATGATAAAGCTCGTGACTCTCTGATTACACATGCATATCCTTGTCCATTACTTCAGTGTACCATAATAATATCTCAACTTTAACATATTATGCTCTTTAGTACTTCCTAATAAAGATTTTTTAATAGAAAGTATTTTGTCTTATTCACAAGCAATTCAGCCTTTCTTACCATTGCTGCTTTCCATAGACTAACTATTTTCACAGGGTTCTAGTTGTCACTCTCTTAATGTCTTTTGATAAGGCAGCCTTAAATTGATTCTGACGATGCGTTTCTGCACATTAACACAACACATTTTTTATCTATTGTATTACTTTTAGCAAATAACTGTGATACCAGCTACTGGCTGTGTGTCATATGTTTCTCACCGCTGTTGTCTTTCTGTTGTCTTTGTGCTTTATCGTTGATGTGATGATTTAGCGTTTTAATTCTGTGCCTTTGTGTGTTTTGGAGTTCATTGTTTTGCTGTTTGAGCAGCCATTCGGAAGTAGCATTCTGGTCACCTTGAAGAAAATAGGAGGCAATTGGCTTGTGCTTGTAGATGCTAAAGAAGTCTGTGCCACTGGTTTTAACATAACTAGGTTGCACGTCCGATTAGCAGTTTAAAAAGGCAATGAATCACCCTTACTTTTTTAGATTCCTTGAGATCATCTACAATAAGTGGGAGGTGTTATGATTGCTACATACCCCTTTCAAATCACTCTGTTTGAAAAGAGGACTTGGAATGGGGATAACTCTTCTTGTGAATTTCGCGTACTTTGCATATGTACACAATTTGGCTGGAATGTTCACAGCTTAATTCTCTGTCCATGCTACATGTTTTCTCATATACCCTCTGGGATGGTTTAGGGCTTCTTAAATCAGCAGTAGGGCCAAGCGGCACCCTTAGATAGGCCTTGGTTTAGCAGCCACACTGGTTTTGAGACATTGCCATTCTGTGGCCAAATTCAAAGCTGCCAATTTTCAGTAGGATTGAAATGCAGAAATAATTGTGCTATGTACATTTCGCACATACTAAAAAACATACCATGATTAAAATTAACTTGAAGCCCTCTAATAAGCCATCTCTTGAAGTACTCGTGTTGCTTCAGACCTCTGAGATGATTGAAGCATGAGGTAAGAAATAAACTAGCATAGAAAAACCACGAAAGTATGCAATCAAAAGTTTATTTTTATTACTTTTGTAGTATAAGGTTGATGACTAGAATAGAAGAATGCTGGCCAGATTTTCTTTTTAGAATACTTCACACCACAATTTGACCACCGAAGGTTTGGTACACTTTTGCAATTTCATGCATTTCAGCGTACTTTTTCTTATTCATGCTTTTCTGTCATGTTACAAGTTTTCGAAACTTGCGAAGTTTAGAAACCACTGGCTAGCTTAAAGTATGATGTAATACACTTTCATTTATAAAAAAAATATATTGCCGCTAGATTTCCGACTTCAAGGTGGTGTCACCAGGTGCTTTCATTATTGCCTAATTTTCTTGCTTCTTTGAACCTTATTTCACAGTAACAGTATGAGATATTTTTTCTAACCAAAGGCAGGTTTACAGTGTCCCAACAAGCTGGGAGCCATATTTTTCGTGTTCAAAATATATATACTGGGTGTCCGAGGCCAAGTTGCCTTTTTGGCTTCTCCACTTTCTTATCATTTATATCATAAGTAAAATGCTATTAACACAGTACAATTAACCCAGACAACACAAACACAACCTCAGGACGTCCTCAGTATGCTTTCGTGAGGACAACATGACGCCCTCAGAATGTCCTCTTATGGTACTAGAATGGCACTAATGCCGTCCCTTTGTCCGTACACACAACAACCTCAGCACATCCTCAATACAACACTTCAGGACTTTTTCAGTATCTTTTCAGAACAACGATTGTGTGGCCGGTTCGGTACTGTGGGCAGTGATACTACTTAGGATTTACTTCTTTTCATGATATTTCCGAACATCAAAAGAAAACACCTGCGAGGTCTCGTGTATATATACTGTATTAATCAACAGACAGGTGACAAAACAAACAAAGCTTATTGACTGAAATTTATTTAACAGTAATTAATCACAACTGACAGTTTTGTCAGGCATTCGAGTCCGCGTATAGTCTGAAAAAAGAAAAGCAGCATTAAGGCAGTCAACACAGGTCAATCAACTATGTTTGTAATCTTCCTCGAAAGTTTGACACAGTGTCTTCATCACCACGTGTATCGCACCCAATGCACTCACTAGTGTTAGAGGCTCCGCTCTGACAGCCTATCAGTACACTCGACACGGGCGTTGACTTGACTTGCCCGAGGTCAGGCCATGTGTCAGATGCAGCAGTAGATCCTTCCATGTTTGAACCATGCTGCTTCGAAGCACAATTGATATCTGGTGTTCCATAGATAGATAGATAATGTGGCCAAGTACACTTTTCAACGGGCGGACTCAATGAAGTGTCCCAGCCATATTGTAAAAAAAAGATAAGAAAAAAAAAACACGAAAGAAAACATGAGTTAAAAAAACACACACGTCAGAGTTCACAAGTCACACACTTCCAGCGCCGTGTGTGACCGTCTTGTGTTCCTCCACCACACTTCGAGGCGAGCTTTCGTGGTGCGCACACGTTTGGCACAGCTGTTTTCCTCCGCATCACGAAATCCGAGGGCTTGCAGCAGGGTGGTGCCCTCTACTGTAGGGGAAGTCAACTTCGAACATCGTAGGAGCAAGTGCTCGATAGTCTCCCGCTCGCCACCACAGGACCTGCACACCGCCGGGCGCGTCTCGGGGGGCTT